CGAACCCAGCTTAAAATAAACCCTATTTAATTTTTTGTATTAAATAGGGGAACTTGTCGGCAAATAAAACGGTTTCGCAGACCCAAACGGATGTCATATCTTTCTTAGTTTATTTGATCGAGCCTCACCCTCAAGTCTTGTGTTTATCCCTCGGGGTAGATACAGGATTTGAGGTTGAGTGCTCTTTCATTTAAACTATGAAAAATATGAGGTCAGTTTGATTTCATATTTTTCTAAAATTATATATATATATATATGTAAATTAAAAAGTCCTTCCGAAGCGGGCAACGGGATTTCGATTCCGGCGACCGACAGCTTCTTACGGGCGACCCCCAAACATTTAAACATTCAAACTCTCTTCCCCCTTTCTTTTAAGCGCCGACACGCTTTTACCAAACAATCATTTTTTTAATTTGACAGCACAGCACTATACTGTATAGCATAGCACAATCAGTATACAACATTGCCAAATAGGGCCATTGTTTTTGAAATCATAGGCAAGGTTGCATGCATGTATTTGAGCATTCCCGTGTTCTTTGTTTCATGCTCATATGATCTTTGTATATTTTTGGCCTTTTTGAAATGATAGATACCACTTTTCTTCGAAAGAAAGTTATTTTGAATTTCATATTTTTTACTTTTGCCATGCTTCTATTGCTCTTCTATTGCTGCTCTTCCGTGAGCTTATCAGCCTGAGTGGGCGAAGACTCAAATCAATATCATAAAGCTAGATTTTCTTAAGATTTCATAAACTTTGCTTTTTAAAAGATTTGTCAGAGAAGCCCTCTACCAAACATCGCCCTAATTTTGATCTTCCAGTCATTTTATCATCGTTATTGCTTTACACGAAGCACTGAAAACTTTTACTTGATGCTAGATTTCGATCTTTGATTATCATGATATGATCAATTGTATGTTTATGCCTGTTAATGTGCAAATCTGGATAGCCTGTATTTGTAATGGCAATTCCTTATACCTTGTCATCCAAAACCTTCCATTTGTCTACTTGAAGATTAATCCATTTCCCAAAAAGAGAAGATAAAAAGTAGAACTATATGTACCAAACAACATAATTTCACGTTGAATATGATTGATGGAATTGTGGGAGTTAATTTCAACATTTCCTCTTAGGATATTGCTCTTCCAAGTTTTTATTAAGGAACTTGAACCGGGGGCTCCAAGCTATGCTATCCTCAAAGCAACACTAATTTACATTTAGGCAAAGAATTTGTGCTTTTAGTCTGAAATAATGTAATTTAAAACCTCAATTTTTTCATTGAAGTCAACGGTAGTTTCAGTTAGGTTTTTTGATCGCTAAGACTGGGTCTAAGCGCGAGAAAATGTTTGAATATATAGCTTAGCTTTTTCGGCAATCCTTTGCTGCTGTAATCATCAAGGAACTCAATACACACTATACTGCATTGCATTGATTTCTAAAAGTAAAATTAAACATATATTCTATTTCAATGAGCGTTTTCAATTCCATGATTTTGCTTGTGATATATACTTTTTATGTAGGATGGTTTCCTTTGGATTAGAAGAATTCGCTGAAAAATATGGTACTCTTAATCCATCTCAATTTGTTGATGTCATTTCACTTGCTGGCGACAAGTCTGATAACATTCCAGGTACAATATGCGGAGCACTCTTACCTTGAAATAGTGGAATGAAACTAGGGTAACTGTTAATTGATATTATTGTTTTGGTTTTCCTTTACTCTTATATTTTTTTAAGCTTCATGGAGCAGGGTCTGGTTACCATGCTTCTCGAGTTCAGGAAATTTTATTTTCTCGGATTTCCCATATCTTTATTTTAACAACTCTTGAAAATTACTGTATAGTGGTGTTTTTTTATTTCATTATCTCTCTCTCTCTCTCTCTCTCTCTCTCTCTCTCTTTCTCTCTCTCTCTCTCTCTATATATATATATATATTTATTCTCTCTCTTTTTCTCTATCTATATATATCTATATAAGTGTGTGTGTGTGTGTTGTGTACGTGTTCCTTTCAATGCCATCTACATTACTATGGAAAGGATGAAATCCATAAATCATTCAGTTAAATATTAGATGGCTCTTTTGGTTATACTTTTGTTTTAAAATTTGCTTTCAATGGCAGGAAATGGAAATAAACGTTTGTTAATCTGTAGGGCAGTGGTCTGCGATCCAACTTTTCAAACCTAAAGTCCCACTGGATTCTTGAACTCATGGCCAGGTTGTCATTGCAAAAAGTAATATTGGAAATAGCGATTTTCTTAAACGTGATATGATTCGTGGCAGAAATTATGGTAAATAGTATTTTATCACGAGAACATCAAACACTTGAGATAAATACAAAGATAAGCACATACAATTTGAGGGAGAATCTCACGCAAATCCTACAATTTGAGAGGTAGGAAATCTCTCCCACCAACCCTAAGACTCAAGACGACAATATCATGTTTTTGTTAATGCTTTTTTTTTCGTGTGCCTTGCTATAATGTACATTCTGGTCTTGTAACCTATTTACTTTAGTCCACAACATTTTTTTTTCAAGCTGTTTCAGTTCTCGCAACACTTTAGCAACAATCTTAGGAGAAATTTTACCAAATAATCTTTTGCTTTACTAGGCAAAACTAGGGAGCCCAAGGCAAGATAGGGAGATCTTAAAAAGCAACACCTGATGAAGATTTTATGGCTTGAGACTTGAGAGTCCGTAGATGCTCTTTGTTGGTTATTTATGAAGTTCATAGGGTATAGTGTTGTCAACTGGCCAATTCTTCTGTATTTTGGTGGAGAATGGCACAGCACTTGGTGAACTCATATTAGAACCTTGTCTTCTTTCTTCAAAATCCTTGTTCTATTTTCCATGTGATGTACTATTTATAGGTTTTTTCTGGTCACATAGTTAATGATTTGCATGCTGGCATTATTGTCTGACACACTGGGATTATGGCTTTTTTTCTTAGCTGATTGTCCATATCTTTCGGTTTCTACAGAATTCCTTCAAGTTACTAGCTTTAGAGAAGTTATAATAAGTTGGTTGATTTATCTTTTATCTATCTTAAAAAGTTAGTTCTACTTGATAGTATTTGATTCACTGGAAATCTGTAACCTCTAGCAGTTTAGTATGTTAAGTAATGTTTTTCTGTCTAATTATTTTCTCTTAAAAAGCTTTATAGAAGTTGCTTGGAAATATATAATAAGAACCAGGTCTTAATCTCTACTTTAAAAAAATGAATTTTATCTAATTTCAACTCTGAATTTCAGCATTACTGCTAATTGATTTTGAAGTTTAAAAATTGTTAATGTGCTGTCTGATGCAGGAATTGAGGGCATAGGAGATGTTAATGCTGTAAAACTAATCACCAAGTTCGGTATGATCATTTTCTCTACATGCCAAGATCTAATTTTTGTTAGTGTGGTTAGTTTAATTTAAAGATAAAATGGTCAGTGGCACCTCCATTTCCTCATTTCTGCATTTTATGAATGATTATGCTTTTGATCTATATAAATATTTGTTGACTATTATTGCCTCTCTTCTCTATTGTAAATATTAAATATCAAGCTGAATTTGAAATAATTATAGTATAATGCGGCGTTGATATGATTTGTGTTTTGTGTGCATGTATTGGTTGTTAAGTAGCAACAAAGGTAGCAAAATAATGAAACATTAATTGAATGATAGTTCCTCACCCATGTTTACAAGTATATGTCTGCATGTGCATTTAAAGGTAGTAGTAACCTCTAATTTTTACATTCATTGCACCCAGATCTTTCATATGACATCAAAAAAATATCACTACTTTAACTCTGGTTATTATTCTGCTGCTTCTTTATCAGGCTCTTTAGAGAACTTGCTTCAGTGTGTTGATGAAGTTGAGGACGAACGCATCAGAAAGGTTTGTCAGTCCATCTCATCATCGTTTTCGATGTAATGAAATTTTTTCGAGTTGTTACTTACCTTTTCTTAGTATGATATTACATAGTTTTGGGCTTTTAATTGAGTATGAATATGTTGTTTTTTACAGGCTCTCATGCAGAATCCTGATCAGGCTTTATTGTGCAAGAATTTGGTGATAATGTCTTTAGCTTCTTTGTTTTTCATTATTTATATTTGGAAACTGATTGGGATGTTCTGTGAAAATTAGAAATATCTATTAATCTTTGCTCCATTGCCTTATTCCCAATAGGGTCTTTATTGAATATTTTTTGGTGCCTTTAAACTTTGTAGGCCACATTAAGATCTGATCTTCCTTCTTACATGGTTCCTTTTAAAGTGCCTGATTTTGCGTTTCGCAAACCAGAGGTATGTACGTATTTATGTACCTGTTAGGGTGGTTAACGATCTGATTTCGAGCTGAGTTGTGGTCGGCTCAAAATTGGCTCGAAAAAAATTCGATCCAAAATTTTGGCTCGTAGTACGGGTTGTTTATTTCGATCCGAGCCAAAACTCGAATCAATTTTCGAGCGATTTATAACCTTCAAGCTTAATTTGCTAAAACTTTGCTAAATTCACAATGCTAACATCACTTGGGCAATTAATGACATGGTTTCAAGTTGAACTAGGCTCAGCTCGAAAAAATTTCAATCCAAATTTTGGCTCGTAGCTCAGCTCGTTTATTTCAATCTGAGCCAAAATTCAGATCAATATTTCTCTAAGTTGTTTTTTTTTTCCTTGAAATTATTTTGATATTTCACCATTTTTGTCAGGATAATGGAGAAAAATTAGCGAGTCTGTTGCGAGCAATTGGGGCATATGCAGAAGGTTCCTCTGCAGATTCCATTTTAAGAAGAGCCACTTATTTATGGAACAAACTCAAATTATGATGATTTTTATGGTAGATCTGCATTCAAACCACTCAATTCTTATGTATTTACATATCTAACACCTACAACTTCAATTTTTCTTAGATACATGTCACCTTCCCTATACTTGAATGTGTTTATTTCTCTTTTTGAAAGTTAGATGATGATATTTTTGTTGTGATAGGAAAGATTTGGGTGGTATAAATGTAAAAAAAAAAAAAAATGTTTAGGTGCTAGTTATGTAAATATATATGAATTGACTTGTATGCATGTAATTGTACCTTTGTTTTTTTATAGTCTTATCATTCAAAAGATAACAGCGTTCTTCTTACGATGAATTATATATTAATTTTTATTTTATTTTGTTAAAATATATTTAAATTTTTGTATGTATATAAACTTTTTTTTTTTTTAATTATTATTATTTTCTTAAAAATTCAATGAAGCGTTTTGTAAAGAACGGAAACGCTACGCTGTCATATCATTAACAAGTGTGGAAGTGATTTTTGGTAATCTACGATTCCTTGATATAAAAAATTAGATAGAATTGATTCCAAATTTATTAAATTAAATTTTAAGACATTAATAAATAAATATTTCATATTTGGCTGCTTGTAATTAGGACTGTCAAAAAAAACTCGTTGTTCGCGAACAGTTCGTGTTTGGTTCGTCAATGAGTTCGTGTTCGATTCGTTTGATAAGAAAACGAGGCGAACGTGAACACATTTTTTTCTTTCGGTTAGTTAAATTAACTAAACACGAATAGTGATGCGTTTGTTTGTGTTCGACTCGTTATTGTTCAAAATATAAAATAATTTAAAATAATTATTTATAAATTTTTTTTTATATTTTAAATTTATAAATTATAATATATAATAAATTAATATAAATAATATATTAATATACTATAATATATTATATATTTATATGATATAAGTCATATAATTAATATAATATATTATTTATATATATTAATATTAGGGATGTCAAACTAGGTCTTCGTACGTGAACGGCTCCCGGTTTGCCCCCCCCTCTCTTAAAAAAAAAAAAAAAAAAAAGTCCACACACAAAGCTTCGAACACGAGCTTATTTCAAATAAATTAAATTTCAAACGAACCGAAAATGAACACTAGTTTTGTTCATTCGTGTTCGGTTCGTTTATACCTCGAATTATAATTACAAAAATTTATGAGGCATTTACGTACTTACCACAAAATTCATATGATTTTACATACGTGCATATAAATACCACTATTATTAACCTAAATCAGAAGCGAAATACACTTTTTCATGCATTTATATGGGTGATATTAGGTATTGTAAATCTCCCTTTAATGTATTTAAAATTCATTAGTTTTAATTTTCAACACTAGAATTTATTTTTAGTTTTATTTTGAGCATAATAAATCATAATTAAATTTATATGGTATTTTTGGAATAAAATTATTATGATTAAATTATTGTAGAAAAAAGGTTAAGATGATCAGCCAGGTCGGAGGATGCGATGATTTGTACGTTTCAATCAAATTTAATAGACTTGCGGGACACAATAAATGATAAGAATGTCTTCCAATAATCAACTTTGTTGTGCATTTTAGAAACCTGTAATGTTGCATCTTTGAAAATTAATGTACGAAATTATTCAGCCCTCATTTTTTTTTTATGATAAATAAGTTAAATTTTAAATTTTACGAGTAATTTATTTTTATAATCATCATTAATTATGAAATCACACTAATTCGGATTAGTTATTCTCATATTTAGGAGAAATATTTAGGAACGGAATATGCACTCAGAATTGAGTGTTATTCAAAGGGTATTTGGGGATTATATCAATGTTATTGGGGTATAACCTCACTATAACCTACAAATAAATTTCACGGTTTTGTTTTCATATATTTATAGGTTACTTTATATATTTGTAGGTTAATTGCAAGTTATTATGAGGTTGTAGTGAGATTATACCTTCAATAACACGGATATAACCCCTATTAACTTTTGAATAACCTACTTAACCCTCCCAATTCTGCGTGCATCTTACGTACCTAAATATTTAAAATTGTTATGGAGAAATATATTGTTTAAGAATCATTGTCAGAAATTGTAAATATATATTTTTTTCATCATAAAATTAGATAATAATTTTCTCAGAGTTATCCAATTTTAACAAATCAGGCATAAAAATTAACTTTTCACCACAATTTTTTTAAAAAATTAACAAAAAATGATGGGATCTGAAACACAAAACAGACAGAAAATTATATAAAAAAAAAAAACACCAAAATTCAATAGATCATAAAACCAAATAGCTTTTCTAAAAGAAACATAACTTAGAGAGAAACAATGGCAAATATACATCGATCAAACTTTATAAATCAAACATACATTATTTTACATCACTTCTTTCTCACACATAAACACTACCTCATCTCCCCACCAGCACCAACAAAGCCGCGTAGAACAAGAAACCCGACATACTCACCAACCAACACGTGTCCTTCCCCCGCCGCCCCGTCCCCGCATTATTCTCGTTTAAGTTCCCCGGCACATTCTGCACTACCGTCTGCCCGCACGCCGCCCCCCCTCTTCCCGCCACCCATACCTCCGCTGGCGCCGTAGCAGCCACAATCCA